TGTTGCCAAGTTCTCGTTGAGGATTTCGGCAGAAGCAGATACGATTCCGGAGACTCTGGGGAGAGCAGGAGCGGAGCAGACCTGGGCTCGGGTCTCAGCTGCAAGCTCCTGCCACGGCCATTTGCAGCTACCCTTACAGCCCTGTACTAGCTACGGCCCAGCACTTAATGTTTACATGTGTGAACGTTTATTTGTATTAAAATTTTATACGATGCCCTTCACAGCAATCAGCCCCTTTCTCTTCTAGCAGGGGGGTGATGCTGTCAGTAAGTGGCTGCGGGATGGCAGGTGCTCAATAATCCGGGGGGAAATCCTTCCTTTTGTCTGCTTTGCCCTTCCATTGGGAACCGAGCCTCTCTGGAGAATAAGTGTTGGTAATTGGAGAGGAAAGGGAGCATAATATAATTAAGATGATGGAGAGATGGTCCTGATGCTATTCAGCCTCCGTAAATGTTTCTGCACCGGCTTCGCTCAGCAGCCTGTGAAGCCTGACGCCCGTATCCATCGCCTCAGCACATGCCCATGTGCGAGAGGGATGCGCTCTCCACAGGAACGGGGCTCCCGAGACTGCTGCAAATCCTTCTTTGTTTAAGGTTTGTATGTGAGGAACATGGCCCGCGCTTCCGAGCGAGCTGCGGTCACGCGCTGGATGCAGAAAGCAGTGGTGAAATGGAGACCGTGTGTTCAGGCGTGCCCAGGATCTGCTACTAAGCAGGTTTCAGAGCACAAGTCTGGGATAAATTTCTGTATTTACTCGAGTAATGACTCTCTTCATGCATAATGTGTTTGTGTGCAGACTTTTTTGTCAAAGAAGGCAACATTTTTGCCTTGTTTGAAAGGATAGATTAGAGCTTTTGTTGACCAAGTTAGGGATATACAGTCCTTAGAGGAACTGCAGTGCTTGACGAGTTAAATATTTCATTCTTGTCTTAATAAATGATTGATATGGTCTTCTGAAGAAACTGATTTTTTTTTAAAAAAAAAAAAGACCAAATTGTAGCTGAACCACTGCTGTTCAGGTCCCTTTTTGTGCAGTGTTTTGGTGACTGCGTACACTTTTAGTGAAGCTTAAAAGGGCAAGAAAATAAAAATTTGCCTGAGGTCTGGTGTATTTTTCAGTTATGAAAAAAGTGTTTCAGAAAGTGTTAGCAGAGACATTGACATACTGGGGCTGTGCTGCATGCGTGTGTGTGCTGGGGGCTTGTCTAACAGGGGCCTCTTCAGTAAATTAAATTATTAATCTAGTGCCTCATAAATAAAAAAGATGAGCTAATGTATTTTATCAGCTCTCCAAGTGATCTTGTGGTGCTGTCTGCTGTATCTGCAGGATGCTCGAGCCTCAACGGGGCTATGGTTATAGCTTTGTAGGTTGTTTTCCCTCACCATACAGTAAGAAAGATTTTTTTTTTTTAAATGCATAATCAGCCAACTACCTAGGTATACTTTATATATCTTTTATTAAAAGTTATTTATCACTACTGCACGTGTCGTGTATCTGCTCCCCGCTGTATCTGCCAGCCTGTGTCCTAAGCAGTTAGCCCAGGGTGTCTGAAACGACCCTGAGTTTGGCAGATGAACCTTAGTACCTTCAGTTACATTAGCATTAATTAATAACATTAATTTGTTGAAAATTGGAAAAACAAAGCGTAGTTCTGTATGTGGAGGTTGGCAGCAGGCTGTAGCCGGAGCCTTCCTGCGATGGGCCGCGAGCGGAGGAGCGACGGCGCCTCTTGTGAAGGGGAGCAGTCCGCGGGGTGCTGCACTCTCACGGTGCAGTGGTCGCTGACACCCTGAAGGTGAAATTTCCAGCAGGTTTCTCTCGCTAGGGCTGCGCGGGAAGCAGTGGCAGACGGGGACCTGCTTCTAGGATCTTGAGAGCGGCTTCGAAAGGGAGAAGGTGGATGGCGGGGATCAGAGCCGCGGTTTGGCACGCGGGCCTGTGTGCAAGCAGGGATCCCTGGGGTGCGGAGCCCGCGCGCCTGGGCCCCGCCGGCAGCACCGGCAGGACCCCGTGCTTCGGCAGAAACCGGGCCAGAAACAGGACGCAGGAGCCGAAAGGAATTGCTGCTTGGGCTACGACCACCCTCTCTCCCGTCCCTCGCTTAGTGACAGCCGCGTTTTTTTGCTTTGAAAGCCCACACAGACCGTGCGTGAGATGGAGCAGGGTCAGGCACCGCTCCCTCACCCTGAGGAGGTTTGTGCTGCCCCTCAAATCACGTTGGTCAGCGCTATCAGTGCTTAGTTCACACGTGTTTACTCCAAGGTAACGCTCAAGTGTTAAGCAAGGCCCAACCAGCCTGCGTTTCTGTGTGTCCTTCGCTGCTGCTGCACGCCTCTGCTCTTGAGGAATGGGAGGCTTAGTCCTAAATGTGGAGAGTCCAGATTAAGCTGAGTGCGCAGAATGTTCACCTGAAAGCATTTTTCACCTCATCATAGTACAGGTTTTTATTGGTGTGGCCCGTGTTCCTTGTTTCATTTTAAATACAAACCTTATTCTGCCCTCTGCTGGTAGATCATGTCATGGACTAGAAATAGTTCATGTTATGAACTAGAAATAGTTTGGAATTATTTTAATTATAAAATTACAATTTAAAAAAAGAAAAAATCAATTTGCATTAGCCTCTTGTTTGCAGTCTGCCTCATACCGCAGGTAATCATTACAACCACCACATTTATAATATATAGTACCTAAAGATGCATAGGAGATATTTAAATAATTCTGACCAAATTAGCATATCAATCTAGACACCAAATGGTTACCCTGCAAGCAGTTACTCAAATGGAGCTATCGACTTTAATAAAGCTACCAAATTTCTGGGTTTTGGCAGGCAAATGAATGCCAAACAAAATCAAGTGCTAGAGCATGTGCCCTTTTGATCCTGCTCTCGCTGCATTTGTGTATCCTGTGAAGTCTGTACTTACTGGCCTGTGTGCTGTTTTCTCCACACATTTTTCTTTTATTCCCATGCCGGAGCATTGCACATATAATGAGCAGCTATTCCATGTTTTTGTTGTGGTTTTATGTGTGGTCAAGTCTGTAGAGTGCTGGTCCCCAGGACAGCCTTCAAACTACAGATCTCTATGTTTCCTGTCCTGTGTCAGAAGGAATGGAAACAAGAAACGTAAATCACAGTTTCCTTTGCTACAGATGTGATTCATCCCTTGAGCAGGTTCATCTTATGGCTTCCTGAGCCTGCAGACCTAAAAGAAGAAATGTGCCTGCTAATGTATCTGCAAAAGGGAGCGAAATAAGGATGGTACAAACTGCTCTAATTGCAAATTATCCAAATTTCCTAAGTATCTGACACTTCAGCCTCTGTGCTCTCTTAATATTGTCTGTGTGGGGTTGAGAGATCCAAACTCTGACCTGTTCAAGCAAGCGAACCTCAAAAAAGCCCCAGAAGTTTCAGCCCGTGTCACTGCGTCAGCTTGGATGCCGACAGCAGCCATGAGCTAGGCTGGGCCTTTTAGATCGCTTCTGCCAGAGGCGTTTGTGAAGGAGCTGAAGCAGAGATAAGAGCTTGCTGTAATTTTAATGATGGGCGTGAAGGGACATGTCTTTACCAGTGGGTTTCATAAATATTTGCTGAAAGGAGGAGAGCAATGAGAGTCACCAGAGGGGGATCTAAATGTGGTCCATGAGCAGGGACTGTCTGCCGTTCCACAGCCTCCTCCTCCTCCCTCTTGCTTATTCCCATCCTGGTTTTTGTCCTTCACATTGCACTTCTTCTGTTGAGACTTCCTGGAATTGCAGCAGCCACAAGGCACGAGGAAGGCTGTATTTTAAACTGGTGCCTTTCCCAGGAAGATCTTTACTTTGCAAAATCCTCAGACAGGATGCCCTCAAAGAGGAAGCCTGAAACTGTGACTTTTCAGCAAGCGAATAAAAGTTACAACTTGAGTAACTTTTCCACTCCTATCTATCTGGAAAAAAACAGCAGCTTCAGTTCTTAGAGCAAAATGGAAGGGAATTTAATTATACAGTAGCTCAGCAGGGAGCCCGAGTAATGATTGCAAAGGAGGCAGAGCTGTGACGTGAAGCGCTGCCCGTGTGCAGGGCAGCTCTGCTTGGCCCCAGGAGATCCTGGAGACAAGGAGAGAGAAATGAGGGCACCAGGGCCCTCTGTAAGTGGCTCTGTGAGGGCAGAGCTGCCCGAGGATGGCATCATCCAGCAGGTCTACCAAGGCAGTGACCGAAGCCCATCCAGAAAGCCCGTGTTGCTTCCAGAGAGCCGTCCAAGAGCCTGGCCACGTTCTGCCACCTGCAGCTCGCAGGGCAGCAGGGCTGGCACGTGAGGCGCCTCGTGCGCCACTTTGCCCGACTAAGTCGCACATTTAGCGGCTCTCGCTGTACCGAGAGCTGCGCCGCCTGCATCTGGGTGCAAAGCTGAGCTCCGGCTGAACAACAAGCCTGCTTCTACGCACCTATTCCGAAAGGAAAGGCGGTGCCTTCCTGCAAGGAGCTGCCGCGGGCTGCTCGGTGCCTGCTCCAGGCAGCAGGGCTGGCGCTCGCATGGCCGCCAGCTGTGGGCAGGGAGAGGGGGAGCTGCTTTGCCTGCTTTCCCAAACAGCCCCACTTGAAAATGATGTTATTAAAAAAGATAATACCTAATCGCTGGCATTTTTTTTAACATATACTCTCAAAATGCTTATTTGTTCGGAGAAGTGGGGTCAGGTGTTCATATTACGGACTTCCGCATTAGGTGGAATACTGCTGTCGAGACGTCTGCAAATCCCAACTTGGTTACCCCTCTTCATGTGCAGAATCATAGAATCACAGAATGCCGAAGGTTGGAAGGGACCTCAGAGGTCATCTAGTCCAACCCCCCTGCTCACACAGGGTCACCTAGAGCACAGGGCACAGGGCTGCGTCCAAGCGGGTTTTAAAGATCTCCAAAGAAGGAGAATCATTTTTATTGTGTTAAATGCTGTCGAATTTTGGTTCATTTGTATGCTTCATTACTTTGGCTAACAGTTTCTACCTTTCTCTCTGACTTCAGCCATTGACGGATTCCTAAAAACCGATGAAAGACAAAGACTGGCAAGGGAGCGGAGAGAAGAAAGGGAGAAATACCTTGGTAAGATAGCTGGGGACATATGTATTTTTTATGTGTATGTGTTGTATGTGTATGTGGCTTAAGTTAATAACATGACATTTCTCCTGTTCTGAATTTTAAATAATGTGGCTCAGGCTATTCCTAGTCTTCTTTGACTTACAATTATTTCTTTAAAATTAGCTCATATACAGATAAATAAATCGAACCAAGGGCACATTTGATTTCCATTCAGCTGCTTTGTATAGTCTAGTTAGAAGTTAATTTTCCTCTACAACAGATATACTTTTGAATATAGGCCTATATACCACATATTGACCGTTAGGATTTTGGCTTGTACAAATACTGAAACAGCCTTGAATAATAGTTAAATAGTAGGATTATTTGCTGAAATGGTCTCAATTTTAACTTGGTAAGTTTTAGCCCTATTAAAATATATCTTGGATCTGGTAACAGACCTAAAAGTGGGTGTTTTTCCATAAGCTTAAAATGATTAATCTTCTTTCAAGAGAATGAAAAATACATAAAATCACTTCTTGAGTGACGTTAGCTTTAATTTCAGAGTCTTTGAAGTATTGTTTCTTGCTTTTAATCTACTACTGCTACTTTCAGGGAAAATTGTGCAGTTCCATTTACATTATATGTGTGTGTGTGTGTGTGTGTGTGTGTATGTACAGTTTTTAATATATGCATACATGCATATAAAGTAAAAGAAAAAAATGTGTTTTATTATAATAACAAGAAGCCTAGTAACGTGATTTTCTTGAGATTGCCTCACTGTATCTATTAGAGGAAATTGCCAATTTTTTATGATTTTGTTGAACTGAATATGGGGGTTATTTTGAGAAAATGTTAAAATAGTGAGGACACTTCTGAAAAGAATCATAGGAGAAAAAAAAAAAGTGCTTTTCTTAAAACAAGTAAATAGCCTGTGACCATACCTTGATAAAACATCAGTCATGAGAGCAGCGATTTGACATTTTTAGTAATGTGGGCTTAGTTAGAAAGAGGCTTCCTCGTAGTTCCTGTGAAAATTCACCAGGATCCTCAGTGGGGATTTAGGTTTTAGCAGCTAAATTTCCCTGTGCTTCTCTCTGTGTGGAGAATGCACCAACTTGAGTAAACCTGACATGCCCTGCAGTAGTAGCTTATATCTCCTGCAGGTATGTTCAGTCCAGCCTTGCTCTTCTGTCCTCACGATTATTCCTTCTTTGCTGGTTCCTGAGAAAATGACACAAAGAGTAGGTTGAAAAGGAATTGGATTAAAAAGTGGAAGAGAAACCGGGTGAGAGGAAAGCTGGAGAATCTGGGACTGGTTGTCCAGGGGGATTTGGCACAGAGAAGACAAGGAAAAAAGGTTTTAGTTATATTTCTTTTCTGGAAGCCTATTTCTTTAGGGTTAAACCCATTTCTAGAATGAGCAGCTCTAGTCTTTGGCCTCAGCAGATTTCTATATGTGGCAGATTTCCTCTGGAAGCTGCCCAGTGAGTTCCCCAACAGACAAATCTCCATGCAGCCAGCAGGTACTTTGCAGCAATCTAGAATAACCTTCTCATCAAAGGCAAAACTCCTTAATTAGTGTTTTTACATCCTTAAATGAAATTAGGGAGTACTGAAAACATGTCCTTGATGACAGAATGGTTTGCTTTCAGAATCTAGAAAGCCTTGCTGTCCAGAATCAGTCTCAGGTTTCACCTACTTAGAAGGTAATCCAAACACCAGTCTCTAGACACCTGATATTTATTTATTTAATTGGCTCCAGCATGCAGTTTTTCGCAGTTCTGTCTGACATTAGACATGGACTGTGAGTGATCAGTCACAGATGCTTCGTCATCTCTGAGGTAACTCTTTATCTGTTGCTCAGTCTGTGAATCCAGGCTTGGGTTCCCCTGACCTGTGGAAAAGAAAAAAGAAAAATAGTAAGTTCTTGTGAGGCAAAACAGGAAGCCATCACTGACCATATTTGTAACAAGTGGAAGGCTTTGGTTTTCCCTAAAGGAGTCTGGGCATGAGGAAGAAGTTGTGTCTTGTAAGGAGACAGTTTTCTAGGGGAAGAAGTTGAACGGCTGGAGAAAGACCCGATGTTGAGAGAACACTGACATTCAATGGGGGGTTGGGGACAGATGGGGACTAGGGGTGACTGAAGGCTGTGGATGAAGAGCCTGGGAGCAAGGAGGGGGAATTGATACAGCAGCTGCGGAGTGATCTGAGGAAGTTTGATGTATGTTGGGGGGATTTAGTGGGTAACGAAACAGCAGCTCAAGCATTAACCCAGGCCAAAGAGGTGAGCAGAATAAGGGACCGGCTTTTGTATGAACGGTGTTAATTCTGGCTTTCCTCAACTTTCAAGTTCATAGGCAACTGTGATGATAATATTCTTTCATACCGGTGGTATGTATGTTGGTATATGATATTACAGGCTTGTGTGTATGTAAGCATGCTTATTAAACTCCTCCTCTTCTGCCTTTTAATGGAACACATTTGCATGACAGCTGTTTTTTCTTCATGGTTTATCACATTAACTACTTCTGCTATTTAATTTCCCTCTGTAAACATGAAGCAACAGTCCTGTCTGTAGAGTTGCCATCATCCCTAATCACAGATTTAATATCTGAGAAGAAGATTATACCTACAGGTAGATGAAGCAACTGGGACAAATTGTCAATAATATAAGTAAATTTTCTTCGTGCAATGTACCAGAAGTGGATAACAATTTAACACAAAATTATTAACAAAAGGGTGTATTCTCAAAATTTCCTGGGAAGTTTAACATATGTCTCAAATATTTATTTTGAAGACGACACCATAAAGAGAAGAATAGTTTTAAGAAGATTCCAGGGACTTTTGCTTCAAAATATATGACTGCTTCACTTTAAAAACTACTGGGGATATGTGTTATTGTCTAAAGAAAGAATTTGGTTTTATAGCTGCAGAAGGATTTGAAGCATATACAAAAGAAGAGTTCCTTACTATTCTGCATGCTCTTTTTAAAGAGGTAAGGGGGCACACTGTCACCTTGTGTCTCCCCTCTTAGCGGATCAGTTGGACTGGCTAATCATTGCAGCACTTCTTTACACTCTGCTTTTGAGCGCAGGGCACTACAACCTTGTGTATTTGTACTGGCTATTTTACTCTATCATGTCGTACTACCAAATAATTATAAAGCAGGAGAAAAATTGCATGGAGTGAAAGGCACCTTCTTTTCCCTTTCTAAGCTGCAAGGGAGCAGCAGATACTGGAGAAGGAGAGAAGGGCAAAACTTCAATATGAAAAACAAATAGAGGAGCGATGGCGAAGACTGGAGGAGCAGCGACAGAGAGAGGAGCAGAAGAGAGCAGCTGTGGAAGAAAAGCGGAGACAAAAGCTCAAAGAGGAGGAGGTAAGGCCCACTGGGAGGCATCCTGTAGAGCTGTTGTATAAGCTAGCATAAAACAGAGGGGAATATGACATGCATTTCACTCTTTTCCCTTTTTCTTTTGATTTGGAGACATTTGTGTCTTATTTGGGAACTGCAACACTGCTGTAAATGCTCTACTACCACTTGTATATCAAAAATGTATTCAGAGTCTTTTTTGTTACTTGAATTTTGTCTGATCTCTACGATAGTCAGCTACTTAGGCTAACGTATCTGGGACAGTCAGACATAAAGCACCAGCTTGTAAAGATGACGGTTTCCAGAAAATGGCAGGTTTTTTTATGCTTTGTTTGCACTAACTACAGAAACTGAGATCACGTTTATGTATTTTTTCCTCAGCAACACCAAATCAGAAATACTTACGGCAGCTAAAAATCTAGGTTGGTTTAAAATTCGAATGTAGAATAGAATTAATCACATATCTTTAGAAGTGTGTTTGTGTGTTCCTTTTCTGCTGTCTCTACTGAGATCATTTAAGGTTCTTTTTTGCTCCAGTATGTCTTACTTCTGATACAAGTCTCTAAATGCAGTATGTGTGTTTGTCTCCCTGCACGACACTCTGTCTGAAACACCAGCACTGCTACTGCAGCTGATAAAGAATTAATGATTTTTGGAAAAGGGAATGATGGATTTAAAAAAAAAAAAGTCGAGATGATGTTGATTTTTTTCCTAGTTCCTATGCAAAAACTCTCTCGGAATCTGCAGTTACTAAATCCCCCCGCCTTTGCCAGTCCCCCACCTTTTCATCAAAACATCTTAATCAAAATAGCAAAAGAGATCAAATATTTTCACATGGGATCAGAATAACATACGTCTGTCGAGTTTTCTTCTGTGTTTGTTTTTTTTTACTTGCTTGAACCTGAAGAGAAAATTATATCCTGCCATTCTGCCATTCCCCTTCCGTCTGTGCCGTACTGATTCTGCCTTCTGCATAATAGCTGAAAATTCACTTTAAAATATTTTGTCGTGCGGATCGCTTGAAATCCGGGTTCTGTTTCTGCCGTTTCCCTAACAAAGGGGAGGAGGTCTGTCTCCTTCGGCAGCCACATCACGGATGCGGCAGGACTTTCTTCCCCGGTGTTTCCAGCTGTGGCAACCTTTTCGGCTAAGCCCTTTGCAGGATCCCCTGCTAAGCTAAGGGCTTAGCCCTTGCATGGATCCCCTTTGCTGGGGGCGTCGGAAGCGGCAGGCGAGGAAAGGCCAGAGCAGGCTGGCCTCTCCTATAAATAAATAGAATAATATAATATAAATATATTTCCCTATAAATATATTTATAAATATAAATATATTTCTCTATAAATATATTTCTCTATAAATAAATAGAATAATAATATAAAACCAAGCAGGCTGGGTGCCCCATGGCTTTGCTTGGGCCGGGGTAGCCAAGGCCGTAAGAGCAGCCGGGGCGCTGCCAGCCCGGGCCCCAAAGCCCCTGTGGGGGAAGCCCTTGTCCTGCGGTGCCCCCCGGCCGAGGTGGATGCAGGAACAGGCCAGGAGCACGCCGGTGCTGCGGAGTTGTTGTTCCCCAGCACCAGCAAGTCTGTTACAGCCTGAACTGCCGCCCACCACCAGCGTCCATGCTGGGAGGCCTCACCCCAGAGAGAAAGGCCTGCGGGCCTGTCCTGCAAGCTTAAAAAGGCCTCTTAGGGGAGGAGGCCGGCCCAGGCCGGCTCCTTTCCCTCCTTGTGAGCTCTGCTTTCCCCTTTCTCAGGTCGAGGAAGCTGAGAAGGGGCTGTGTGGGCAGGAGGGTGGGATGGGGGGCTTGTTTGGGAGCGGAGGAGGCCCCGACTGAGGCACTTCTGAAGGAGCAGGGTGTGGAGAAGGACCATCTGCAGAAATGGGAAGGACGGCGTAGGAGGAGGTCGGGGAAGGGATCCCCAGCACCCCCTGGCATCCCGTCAGAGGCACCTGGCTTGGCCTGGCTGTTTATCCTGTGCCTGTGAGATAGGACTGGCCCGTCCCGTGAGATAGGACTGGCCTGTCCTGGCTCTGCGGCAGCCCCCAGCAGCTCCGGCCTGTTCAGAGAGGAGGTAGCCAAAGACCAACCTATTCTGGCTTGTTTTCGTGCTGCTGTTTTTCATAATATATTTGTTTTAGGCAGGCCGGAATGTCAGCTCTGTTATTTATTCTGAGAAAACGTGTAAATAGCTGTAAAGATTATCCAAAGTGCCTTGTGTATGCTAGATACTAGCAGTAGATGGCCCTCTTTTTACTCATTCTCGATTTAACCTACAAGCAAAGCTCATAGCACATCCTTTCTTTTTAAAATGGAAGCTCACTATAGCTCTCCCACGGAGATTATTGTCTCTATATCTGTGACAATTAGAGTTCCCAAATGAGGATCAGATGGATAGTGTTCAATATGTTTTCCAGACAGCACTGTCACTGTAACATAGACAGCAGGGTTTTTTTGTACCTTGTTTGCTGATGGAGTAAAGCCTGGTGTCCTTGTTTTTAAAAAAAAAAAATAAAAGTTTTAATGTTTAGGTTGCTTTTGCTATGCTTCTGTTTATTAAGGTTGGTTTCTATTCTATTTATTTTTCAAATTCAAAATATTGTGCTAGTTTAGAATGCTTTTTAATAACTGTCCTTTGCTCATATAAAATGGTTTCATATTGTTCTTTATCTAAGCTGTATCTGCAGGGCTTGTGAGGTTTAATAATTTTGTTCTGCAATGCTTTAATGAAAGACTTTTTGCAAATGAAAATGAATGGTCATATCATGTAATTGAAGATTTCAACCTCAAAATGGAGGTGGCACAGGCTTTCAAATATGTATGAAACATCATTTATTCTCTTTAAACCATTTCCTCCTGCGTTTTATTCTTAAACTGGTGCAGTTAGTGTATTCTGTGGTCCACAGACTAGGGAATGGTGTCAGTCCTTGCTCCAAGCATCATTAGAAAAAGAATAAAAGAACACAGATTGCCCAGATAATTAACTGAAACTTATAATCTGCTTTTATATTATCCTTTTTTTGGGGGGGGGGTTAATGTGTAATAATATCCATTAGTTATGGAAAGGAAGAAAGATTCTGTAGAAGTGTGTGCTCTTTAATGGAGAAAAATAATGGAAGGGCTATTTTACTTTTTAGAGAGCAGGTAGAACGGAATATTGGGGTGACACAACCAGCAGAGGAAAGTAATGAAAAGAAATATGGAAGCAGGCTGCAGACAAGAACTGGCAATGAAATAGGAGGTTTGGGGAAAGTATAGAAAAGAGTCTGGAATAAAATGAAGCTATTGTGTTGGGAGGTGTAAAATAAAGATAAAATTGAGAAGCCTGAACTGGAATAAAACACCCACATGTGCATTTTCTTGATCATGTAATTTTCCAATGTAAAGTAAGAAACAAACTGCATCCGAGGGGAGTGACTTTGAGTTGTGGAAACTGAAAGATGGCATTCTCGCAGAAAGAGTGGATACGAAGTGATAGCATATTCAAAAATATGTCTTTGGCTTTGTTTTTCCTTGTGCTATTGCAGAAAAGTCTCTGCTTCGGCCTTATGCTGCGTTGCCTCCTTCAGGAAGGAAAAAGGAGGAGGAATGACAGGTAGAGAGTTTGCCTGGATGCTGATGCATTGACTAGGCAGAGAGGAAAAAAAAGGAAGGGAAGGGAAACTGCTGCCTGCTTTGAGCAGTTTTGCATGAGGTTAGCTGGTGCATCCTGGTCCAAAGATGGAGAGAGGAGACAAAAGCAAGGAGAGCACGGAGCAGCAACCCAAGCGTTGCCTTCCTGGAGATGCAGCAGGATATCCGTGACAGCAGGATAGGCTGCCTGGCTGAAAGGTAACAGGCAGGAGAGCTCAGAAACATAGACCAGGTGGGCAAGAATTGTCCTTTTCCAGTTTCATATAAAGGCTAGAGTAATGAAACTCTTTATGGTACAAATAATAATAAATCATAATAAAATCGGGGGAGAAAAGGCAGTTAAGACACACCCACAAAAGGTAGTGGCTTGCTGTTGATATCCATGAGTAGCTGGTAGTGAGGATGGTTGAGGTGGGAACCTTGATCAGAAGTACATTATGAGAAATCCTGGTAGTGGAAGAGATCCTTCAATGAAATGAAGAGACAAAAATATATTCCAAGTATTCAGAAGAGGTGGAGTGAGCATACAGTTCATTGAAATGTGGTGAACATGTACAGAGGCTCAAGGATGTTGTGCAAAGCTTATGAACCCAGACATAAAGCTCTGGCAGAGCTCAGAGTCCAGTTGGAGGCCTGTGGCCAGTGGTGTCTCCCAGAGGTCAGTACTGGGCTCGGTGCTGTTCAACCTGTTCATCAGTGACTTGGACAAGGGCACAGAGGACACCCTGAGCAAGTTTACAGATGATACCAAGCTGGGTGGAGTGGCCGACACTCTGGAGGGCTGTGCTGCCATCCAGAGGGACCTGGAGAGTTGGACAGCGAGAAACCTCCTGAGGTTCAACAAGGACAAGTGCAGGGTCCTGCACCTGGGGAGGAATAACCCCAGGCACCAGTACAGGTTAGGGGTCGACCTGCTGGAAAGCAGCTCCACGGAGCTGGGAGTCCTGGCTGACACCAAGTTAGCCATGAGTGAGCAGTGTGCCCTCGTGGCCAAGAAGGCCAATGGGATCCTGGCTGCATCAGGAGGATGTTGCCAGCAGGTCAAGGGAGGGGATCCTGCCCCTCTCCTCAGCTCAGTGAGGCCGCACCTGGTGAGGTATTGGGGGCAGTTCTGGTCTCCCCAGTATAGGAGGGATGTGGATGTGGGTCCAGCAGAGGGCAACCAGGATGATTAAGGGACTGCAACATCTCTTGTATGAGGAGAGACTGAGTGAGTTGGGCCTGTTTAGCTTGGAGAAGAGAAGGCTGAGAGGGAATCTGATTAACATGTATAAGTTCATGAAGGGGAAATGTAGGGAGGAAGGGGCCAAGTTCTTCTCAGTGGTGGCCAGTGACAGGACAAGGGGCAATGAGTGTAAGTTGCAACACAGGCAGTTCCATCTCCAGGTGAGGAAGAACTTCTTTCTGTGGGGGTGCCAGAGCCCTGGCACAGGCTGCCCAGGGAGATTGTGGAGTCTCCTTCTCTGGAGGTCTTCCAAACCCACCTGGATGCTGCCCTGTGCCCCGTGCTCTGGGTGTCCCTGCTGGAGCAGGAGGGTTGGATTGGAGGATCTCTAGAGGTCCCTTCCAACCTCAACCATTCTGTTATTCTGTGATTCTGTGGTAAAGGTTTAAAGTAAAACCTTTACTTAAGTCCAGTAAAACCTGCTGGACTCATCTGCTGAGGGAGCTTGGTCAGAAGCTACATCAGTGGAGAAACAGGAGATACGTTTGAACAAAGACTGAATGCAGTGATAAAATATGGTAGGGAAGAATAGGGGGCTTAAACCAAAGTCATGAGTCAGTGGGAGGAGATCATGTGACCAAGAGATGATGTAGGAAGGATGATCTGAGATATAAAAAGATAAGGGAGACGGTGTGGGGGGTTGACAGGAATGCAAGGGATATGTTTTAATCAGCGAAACAGACTTTCAGGAGTGAAAAGCCTTTGTTGTTGATCAAGAGTTTGGACAGAGTGGTATTTTTATGCTACAGCGGGAACTCTCAGCCAAGGCAGTAAGTAAAAGGACTCAAAAAAAAACCCAAAAAAAAGAGAGGAGGGGGAGGCAGCAGGAGCAGCTCATCTGCGGTAGTAGAAATTGTATTGCTGAAATATGAGGGTGAGGAGTTCGCTAAATGCCAGCTGCTGCGTGGAGGAGACCTGAGAGCAGAGGAAGGCAGTGATGGGGGAGTGATGGGTGGGGAGGGACCAGGTTTATCTGCTTGAGAGGAGGAAGAGGAAGGGGCAGAAATCATTGCCCCCACAGTAAGTGCAGAGCAGCGAGGGGAACAAAACTGACCCCGGGGTTTGAGTGAGGGGTAAGAGGTGGTGGGGAAGAGGAAGACCCTGCCTAGCTGTGAGTTAAAGGTAGAGGAAGATTTGGGGAGGGAAGGAATCTTCTTAATATCTTCAGAAAATCCTAATGCAGCAAAGCATAGAGAAGAGCCTGGGGGTGGCAGGAGGGAAAAAAAACAACAAAAAAAACCCCAACCCTGAACAGACTAGGCGTGTGCTTAAAAAATAGGCATCTGCCTAAGCTGCATTCTAATATAAATGACAGAAAAATAATCAGAAACCCTTAAGTGTGTGCATGTGAAGAACCTAGCGGAAGAAAGGAGGGGAGTCATCATAAAAACGCATAAATAAATTACTCATCCCTCCAAGTAACCTACTTTGGGTGGGGAGCGATGGCTTCTGTGCGTGGCGAGGAGGAGCCAGGGCCACTGCAGCAGTGGAGCGGGGCCGGGCCGGGCGGCACCGCTCGGAGGCCCGCGCGGGCAGCAAGGAGTTAATGCTGGCCCAGCATTATTCCTGCACAAATCAAGTCCGAGCGCAGCAGCAGCAGCAGCAGGAGCAGCGGCAGCAGGAGCAGATGCTAGGGCAGTGATGCAACCTGTGTTATTTACTTAGGCCTCGGGAGTGACCTCGGGGCTGGCAGACAAAGGAGCCGCGTAGCTGGAGGTAGGTGGCCAGGCTGGCATCCTCCTCATTCCGCCCTTGCCCTTCTGTCGGGAGCAGACTCGCGCAGAGCAACAGGGCAACTGTTTATTCTATGTGTGTTTTTAGCTTGGTTTCAGACGGGAAAAAAAGAAGCTCTGAAAGAACTTATTTATATCTGCTTCTATCTTTTTTTTTCCCCCTTTTTTCCTTTTTCCTGTCTCTTTCCGTGGTGCCCCCCGTGCCCAGGAGCGCCTGGAAGCCATGATGCGCCGCTCGCTGGAGCGCAGCCAGCAGCTGGAGCAGAAGCAGAAGCGCTGGTCGTGGGGCGGAGCGCTGGCGCCCGGCTCGGCGCCCAGGGACGGTGAGCGGAGCGGCGCGGAGGGCGCGCGGCGCCGCCCGCATTGCGGAGCGGGCACCCGCGCGGTGGCGGGCGGCGGGGGTGCTCCCCACGGCGCGCGGGCCCGGCGGGAGAGCCCGCCCGGCCTTCGGGGCGCGGGGGCTCCAGCGGAGCGGGCGGGAGGGCAGAACGCCCCACTTGCCCTTTCTGCCCCCTCTCCCGCGGTCTCTTCCCCCGCGTTGTCTCCCCACGCAGCGCGCTGCCCGAGCACCAAAGCGCTGTCCGAGCGACATGGTGGTGTCATTCGGTGCGCCTAAAACCTGATGGGGATTTCTGGATGACTCTGCAGCACCTGCAGCTTAAAATAGTTCCACCCTGCTCCACCCCCCATACTTTTTCTGTTGCTGCTCTTGATTTGGTTTCAGAACAGTTTATTTCTGCCATAATCAGTCATGTTCTGCTTTTGTGTTTCCGAGATGCATGCCTTCTGTTTGGAGTCATTGTAACTTAGTTAAATTTGCCAGGTTTCAATACGCCGTTGTTGCGGAGAAAGGTTATGCATGTTTGGTGGGGTGGTGATGAAATACGGATATTGCTCTCTTTCAAACAGCGTATAAATATATTTAAAAGGGCATACATGCTGTAGCTTTTTGTTTGTTTGTTTTCATGGCATTAAAAAGCCAGGAAAAGTAAATTTATTTGACGTTATACTAAAAGCAAGTCTTTTATGCTTTGGCAAAGCAAGCAGTTTGTTTTTGTGATACCGTTTATGCTTAATCCCACCTCCCCCAACATACTCAGTAATTTCTTTCACCCTCTTTTTGCTCTGATTTCTCTGCTGTGTAGGTGAATCAGAAAATACCCCACCCCCTGTTGTAGGTTTAGCTGCCAACACCCTTCCTGCAGACCCTGTGACCTCTGCTGCTCCTGCCGATTCCTTCAATGGTATTTGAGAGCATCACAGCACCATCGTGTCTTGTTTATAACCGTCCTAATCACTGTGATCCATCCACCGATCTGGTCCCTCCTAACCACTGTTTCCGTATTATTTCAGTGTGGTACGCTGCAGCATTACTGTTAGAGATGTTAGTGGACCAGTTGTCTGCTTAATTTCCTTTTAATTTTGCCATGGTGGAGCCGTGCATGCCTCACATCCCAGCGCAGTAGAGGCATTTCATGATGACCTCACTAACTGTAGACTTTTATAACTTGGATTCTCACCTCTGTCATTTCTGTGGATGTGTTTGTTTGTATATGTGTATAAACATATATATATACTTTATAGTTTTACTATAGGTGTCCAGGGAAAGGTGATGTTTAAAAAATGATCAGTTGCACGGTAACAGAAAATAGAGAGCATCTTGCATGGTAGCAGAAAACAGAGAGCATCTTTCATCAAGTCAGTCCTATTTTGCCATCTTGAGGGGCTTTTACCGCAGTATCTTAAGAAAGCAAATTTCACGTGTAGAGCTATAATTTCAGCATGCTAAAGTGGATTTTGGCCATGCTGGCATTCGTAGCAATAATTGACTTTATGTTTAGGCAGCCATATTCACTTCCCGCTTTTCTTGTGTATTTCTCAGTTTTCTTTTATTTTGTGATATAGACAAGGGCGCCAAGTTTAAGGCTGGATTGCATGTACAATTTCAAATTTTGGTTGCAGATGTGCCTGGCTCTGAAAACGCAGTACAGCGTGTGCTTTTAACAAGCAGGCTCCTCTCCGCCCCGAGGAGGAGGAGGAGGAGGACACCAAAACACCTTCTCCCGCTGAAGCGAAGCGGGAGCCGGCCTTGGGTGTCGCTCCTGCGGAGCACCTGCCCTCCCAGCACTGCTGTTCCAGGCACACGTATTACAGTTGGTGTCCTGGGGGTTGCTTTTTCCCAAAGAGGAGATTTGGATGCGCAGCTGATGTTTTGCAGCACTGCCCCTGCCTTACTAAAGAGGCAACGTAGAGAATCGCGTGGTTTGCTGCAGTCAGATCTTGCAGGTGGCGCTGGGCAGGGTTGCCCTGATAGGGTGGCGGTGCCACCGTGCCGCAGAACTAGGGCCACGTGCCTGGCTCTAGCTGAAGGGATTTGGGGTTTTGAAAGAAGCAGATTTCAAACTTAAAAGGCGAAGCCTCTGTGCTTTTACCTCCTGAGTGCCGTGGGGCTATTGCCGTATAGCAACGTACCGTATAATGTACTGTATAATATACTGTAGTGTGTATATACGGTGTTTCAGAAGAAACTGCAGCCCCAAAATGAAAGCACTTGCAGGAATAACAAAATCTTCTTAAAAAAAAAATCCAGCAAAAAAGACAAAGCCAGGTGGCTGGTGTCAAAGCGGTCGTTGTAAGGACGACTTGTCGCTGTGTGGATAGGCGAGGTTCCTGTGGCAGAGTAATGCCTGGGACCCACCGCAGCGCTTGGGCACTGGCAGGGAGGGCAGAGCGGGGCTGGAGGTGACGGCTGCGGAGCTGTCACGTGTGCCGTCACCGCACTGTTTTCTCGGGGAGCTTTCTGCTTGTGCCCGTGTGGTTGTCGCGCTGCCCCTACGCGGTTGTTTGCCGGTGGCGCTGCAGGGCACGGGCTCTTGCAGCACGAGGTGTCAGTCGCCAGCAGCAAAGGCGTAGAGCAAAGCAGGGCTTAGAAGCTGCTGGTCCCCAGCAGGCGGAGCAAGCTCATCCCACTCCGTGCCTCCCTCCGTGCTCCCAGCAGTGCCAAGGGCCAGGAGTAGCAAGCGCGAGGTGAATCTGGGGAGTTGGTCCAGCACTGTGGCACGAATACAAATGTCTTCAATGCCTCTCTCTGCAGCGTGTGACAAACTTTCAGCTTCTACAATGAATCTGCCAAAGCAAACGGAGTCGCCCATCAGTAAGCGCCTCTCCTCCTCCACCGCGGCTATCACACATTCCCCCGACAGAGGCAAGTGACCGCGCGGCGCCCCTGGCACCACAAACTCTCCTGCTGGGCTCAGGGCTCTTCTCCCTGTCCGGGTGTCTGTGTGTCTCTCTTCTGGCAGTTATTCAAGAGCAGAATTCCAGCATTTGGAGGGTCTCAGGTTAGCTGTTAGTGTGAAACACACTGAGAGGGTTTTGTAGCCTACGTGAGATTGTGGTGACCTGAGGCCAGGGACGAGCACCGTGCTCCTTTCACTGCTTATTTTTCTGGTTGTGATCCTTCAGCAAGCAAGGTTGTAAAGAGGTGCTGCCGCTGCTGCAGTTTCCCAAGTCCCTGTGGCCATAGCTGAGCAATAAGAACGAGAAGGGAAAGCAGCCCCTGGCAGGAGAGTGGGCATGGGATGCAGCGCTGGCAAAACCCTGTCCAGGAGCCACCTGGGGCATCTCCATGAGGTGACCTGCCTTCCTGGGCCCTTCCGTTGGATGTGAAAACCTCATCCGTGAGAGGCTCAGCAAAAGATGATTATCTGGTTGGATTAGTGGTTACTAAACACCCCAGAAAGGAGAGTGTCACTGCCCACCCTTTGTATTTCTTTGTTTTTTGCTATTTTTTTTTCTGGATATCTTCTTTCTTTCTCTCTTTCTTTGTCTCTTTGTCTCTTTCTCCCCTTTTCCCCTTTTCTCCCCTTCTCCCCTTTTCTCCCCTTCTCCCCTTTTATCCTCTTTCCTTCTCTCCTTCTTCTCTCCTTCTCTCCACCTCTCCTCCTCTCCTTCTCTCCTTCTCTTTCTTTCTTGTCTCCCTTTTTAACTGTAGTGAGAAAAAATAGAAAAATGGATTGACTGGAATAAGTGACAGCAAAGGTGTATTTTTAGAATGAGAAGGGAAGGTAGATTTCCTTTCATTTCTGTGTTGCTAAACGAAAACACATCCCTAGCTTTGAGGTTATTGTGCTAGATTCCTTCCGATGTGCCTGTGATGGAAACATTTAGAAACGTTCCTCGTGTAGTTGATGCTTGTATTTATGGAGTGGGAAGGCGCGTGGTACAAACAAGGATTATATAACGGGGCTGAGACTGCAGGTTTTAGACGCGTTCTGGGACGCCTGGCACCTGGTGAGGAGCCGCACGGTCATCCCAGGGTTTCACCTTTCCTGCGGGGAACGAGGCAGACCTGTTCCCTGCTGAGTCACGGCAGCGACCATTTTGCCTCCGTGCAAGAGTGAAATGCAGCACAGTGTTCACCTTGCTGTGTTTATTGCACAGATTGGAAGATAACTTAGGTGGCTTTAAATGATGGAGAAATCGGAAACCTCTCTTTTTCAGGGGAGAATTAAAAGTATTTTGAAATCCTCTAAATCTCAAACATTTCAAGTTTTTTTTTTTTTCATTTCATTTAATCATTTCATTGTTTTGTTATTTTAAGCATCGTTTTGTGTTTTGTTCTTGCATTTTGAAATTTATTTTATTTGCTCCCATCCTTCAGCTCACCGCATGCATCTTAGTCCAATGGAAAACTTTATTGTTTCTCGACTGCTGACTCCCACACAGTCCTCTTTAGCCAGAAGCAGAAGCACATTAATGCTTTCTGAGCAATACAATAATCCAGGTAAAAATGTGAATTATTCCCTTTGACACCGTTAAGGGTATGTTTTGGGCTGCATTTAAGGAGTTGCTTAAAGAAGCGGAATGTTACGAGCTAAGTGAGAGTTTATGCATTAGTATAAAAACAAACAGAAATTATTAAAGCAACTGCTTTAATGCTTTTCGATAAGGGTGTTTTGAAGTTTGAAAAAATACATAATGTAGTCTTTCTGAATGCATTTTTAGAAGTAACATGAAAAAATAATGGAAAACGGAATATCTTCATTTATTTTAGGATTGTTGTCAAACGGTACTTTGCACATAAGAAAATTCCTAGTTTATTTACTGTTCGGGGAGCGACTATTAACAAGAGTGGCCAAAAACCAGCTCAGGATTAGCTCAGTATAGTCTGCTGCAAATGTTAAGGTGAATTGGCAGGGCGAGCCATAGCTGTTGTCCTCGATCCTGAGGAAATGGGCAGGGGCTCTTTGCCTTTCCGCGCACGCTCCCTGCAAACCCCTGGTCGGCCCTCGGAAGCAGTGGGCGAGCGTCCCAAGGCTGCGGTGAGCTCTGCAGCTCTCCCAGCCCGGCGCTGGGGACACTCTCAGCCAATGGACTAGGTGACCTCTGAGGTCCCTTCCAACCTTAACCATTCCATGTGCTGCTGCCCTTTCCTTCCGTGCAGGGCGAGCGCGGCCTCTCGGCCGCCCGCTGGAACAGCTGGCAAAGGGGCGAGGGACCTACCTCTCTCTATCCAGCAAATGCATCTTCCCCCGGCTCTTCCACATGCTTGGCAGGGTGTACAAACATAATATTGGTTGAGGAGTTTTTCTGTCCTCAGGCAGCGACGTAGTGGGCGCCGCGGCCTTTCAGCCTGTCCGTAGAAGGAGCTTCCTGGGCAGGGAACGGGGCCCTTCCTTTTTATTAAGCTCATAGTCTGCCTCCTGTTTGGGCAAAACGCTCTCTCCTGCGTTTTCTGCAAGCTTGGCAATGAGGGTCCTCAATTTCAGACTCTTCCTCTAAAGCAATCTGCTCTCAGGCAACATATCAAGGCAAGCAGTAGTTGCTGGAAATTTATGATTTTTTTTAATAGCTGAAGTAAAAATGCATTTTTTTTATTTAGCCAGTAAGATTTTAAACATTTTTCTTCATATTCCGGGCACTTTTGCCAAGTTACTGGAAAGTCAGTGAAGGAAAAACGTAGGTTCAGCTAAACTTGGACAGCATGCCAGAAGGCTCCCTGAGCAATTTTAAGGGATTATCCCCACTTTAAAAAAAAAAAAAAAAAAAAAAGGTATGTGTTTTATAATGTACTTTTAAAAAAACACTTTAAAAAACTTTGAAAATAACCTTTGTGATGTTGAACTTTATAACATAGAAGTTTACTGTTTTCTCCTGTCCCTTACTTCTCTGTCTGTGCTCCCTTTTGCTCTTGCTATTGTACTATAACTCTTTAGTATTCCATATCTGTCCTCGTGTAGCACCAGCTAGTCCTCTTAAATCTCCCTACAAGCCTTCCCCCACACGAAGCACCGACAGAAAGAAGGCAACTTCACCCTCCACTTCGGATGCCGTGAAAGGGGCGACGGCGGCGGAAGCTGCTCAGGTGGGTTTGTGCTCGTGTTTCCCTTCTGGGTGAGCTCGTGTGGCTTCTGGTCACTGCCTTCCACTTCACATTCGTAAAACTGAAGTGATACCTCTTTGGTGAGAAGTATCTGTAAAAAAATGAGTCTTGGCTGCTTCCATTGGTGTCATGCTCCTGTTAGCTACTTTTTCGTGTTTTCTTCTTTCTGGGAATCAGTCAACGTTAAGCAGCAGTGTTTGGGATGGGAACACCTTTATTTTCAGGCAACTGACGTTTCTGGGACTGAAATTCATGTTTCTGGACTTGCCCGTGACTTCTGGAAATAGGGGTGACAAATAGGATGACAGTGCTGGGTATGACTGTAAGTTAATCCAGCCCTGTTGGCTAATGAGCAAGCTTTCACACATTCTGGCAAGTTGCCAAGGGTATTAGCCATGCCTCTGATTTATACCAGTTGCTTAACTCTCTCTGTAGGCATTATAGATGCTCTTCACTTAAAATTTGCATTATTGATCTGCTGTAATTTCCAGAAAAGCAAAGTTAAGTCATTCAGCTTGATTGAGTCTACACAACGTAAGGCTTATTTTAGAAGACTTGGGCTAGCCTCATAAAGCCTGTCACGTAGCGACTTGTCTCTTGCCATAGTTCATATATACAGTAGGGGGATTCACGCTGTTAAATGAGGCAGCAGGCCAAAGCTGGGAGCTGAGGGTTTGTACACAGTTTTCCTCTGTGATTTAACAGCATGGTGCATGTGGCAGCATGTTTGCCAGGTGCCTGCGGGTGCCACTGGCCCTGCCGAGGGGGTGTTGCACATAAGGAAGGTCTGGAGGATCTTGAAAATACCACCCCGTGCCCCCAGGGCCTGTGAGGGAGGCAGTGCTCTGCTGGGGGTTACTTATCCACAGCTCCTATGCCATGTCTTGCAAGGCACGATATTTAAAAAAATATATATCTATTTAAAGTAAAAGATCATATACCCTAGTTGTAAGCTGGGGCTGAAGAAGCTTTCATCTTAAATATACATTGTGCAAATCTGCTTACCTGCCCTCTTGCTAAGAAAACTGCCAAGTATATTTGAAGTTTTGCTTCTAAGTGGAAATACAAATATGAACTGATTTTCTAGGCTGAGAAGATAAAGAAAGAGAAAAGACCAAGCACACCTGGTTCATCTGGCATGGGATCTCCTCTAAGAAGGTCTGATTCTCCTGCTGCCCTGTCCAGAAGATCTGCATCACCTGCAACACCTAAGTATGCCTTTATTCTTAGTGATCTAATACATGCAGAGAACTTCTTACCTGTAAGCAGCTATAGATTCCTGAGGATCCTCCTGAGAAGTATTGCCTAAAATCCAAGTAATTTTAGTCCTTCATATACACACACACACACACACACACACACACACAAATAAAGAGATATATGTAAAACAGAGTTAAGAGACACTAGAGGCACTTGTCTCCCTTTTCTTGGTCTTGAAAATTTGCTATGCATTTATTTTTCATTTGGTAACTCTCATTAAGTTTTATCTAAGATTTACCATATTTATTTTAAAAAAATGCTTGCATGCTTTTGTTTTACATGGTTTTGAAGAAGCTCTGCCAAATGCGAAGGAATGCACAAAATCGGAGCATTGAGTAGAAATTTCAGCATGTAAAATACGCATTTCCTTTTGCTGACATGACCAGCTGGGTCCATAAATATACTTACTGTGCCCCATCTAAACCTGCCCTTTTCATCTTTGTTTCCTTGCAGACCTTTGTGTTTTCTTTCCCTCAGACCTGTGGACTGAGAGCCTAGCTAGGCTTAATGGCAACTGAGTTGCTTCTCACACGTGGGGTTTTGGGGGGGATTTTTTTTTTTTTTTTTGGACACTCCAGGTATCTCTGTTTGCCATTCATTAGTATAAAGCAGTTTGCCTCTGGCTGGGTTTGTGCAGGATACTGAGTTTGCCTCAAATGCAGAGGTACGCAGGAATAATCGTGGCTACAGTGGGTGTCCTGCTTTTTTCCCTAAAGCCTTTTCACGAGCCTCGCTCTTACTCATCTCAGAAATGATCTCCATTTCTCTGGAGATCCAAGATATGTAGAAATATAATGTAGGTGTATATATATATATAGATAATAGATGCGTAATACATAGGAAGGATAGGGTAGATAGGAATAAGACAGTGGATAAATGCTATTTTTTTACCTGAACCTGACCATATTTTGAATCAGTCCTACTAACTCCTTTTTGACAAATGTATCCTGCTTGAAACTAGCTAATATTCCTTTTCTGTTTCACCTTTTTGTGTGTAGCCCTTTGGGGAGGATGATTTTTTCGTGAATCTGGTATTAGACCAAATATAGGAACCCCCTGGTGCTGTGTTGCTGGACATTCTTTCTGTTTCAGACCTACACAGTGAAATTGCAATACTTGGTTCATATTTCCATTTTGGGCCACAGATCCTTAAACTAGCAATATGGTATGTATACAGTCATCAGATACCGAGCTGTGTCATTTTGCACATCGTGGAATGCTATGGATTTCTGTAACAGGAAATGTTAATGACGAGTCAGCGAAGGAGCAATTTTTTCCTTTCAATTTTGAATAGACCTTCATGCAGTGGCATTGTAAAATATAAAGAAAAAAGGTTTGAGCTATAAAAATATATATTACAATGTAAGTTGCCAGTGTTCCCAGTTCACAGGGCATCTGTCAGTTCATCCAACCACTATAAAAGATAGACCAAGAATCATAAGCAGTTGCAGAAAGTCTTTGGAGGGAAATGGATTGCTGATGGTGCAGCAGCTCACGGGGGGCAGACAGTCTGTCCTAGAGACACCCTAAGCAAAAATATGGTTTTGAGAAACAATCAGCTGTTCAGTACAGCATGCAGAAGAGCCTGCCCAGGTGTGATTCCTAGAACCAGTATCCATAAAATAAAACAAAAACTGAGGCTTTTTTTTTCCCCAGGAGATAATCGTACAGATTTTGAGAACTATTTTGAGGGGGAAAATGTTTCAATCCCCGTTAAGTAATACAAACTGTTCTGCTTAGAGGAAGAAGTAGAGGCTGTATGGAGGAATTAAGAGGCCTCAAGAGGATCTACTTCTGACCATGGCTAGAAATGTATTGCTGAACATTTAATCTTAACGTGGCCCAATTAGGATACCCTCTGTGACCTTGAGAGCTTCACCAAATAGCATTGAAATAAATCTTTGCTACTGATTCCAGAAGAACAGTTCTGCTTCTGCCCTCTTGAAACTTCCTCTCAGAAATTAAAAAAATAATCCTGCCTGGCATAGTGTATAAAAATACTGACCTCTTCATGCAGTTCCAGTGACAGCTGATGATCCGGCTGGCCCTTGGATTTAATGCTGGGAGTGAGACTTTTGGAGCTCTCTGTCAGGTTGTCTGATCTTTCCTTTTCGTTTAAAATTATCTGTGGAATTTAGGAATATTTCTCAATCCCTCCAGGATGGCCCACTTCAAGGTTTTGAACACGTCTGAAGCAGTACAGCTATCAAATAAAATAGTGATGTTAAATAGAGCTATAGTGAGTTTGTAGTCTTTTAGGAAACGTAAAAGTAGACATCAAATTCTCTTTTCTTTGGCTGGAAAAGATCAAAACTAAGAGTGAAAAAAAAATCCCTTGAGAAAATAGCACAGATAACAGAGCAAAAACGTGAGAGCCCAGAAGTTGTGTTTGATCAGAGCGGGCTCAGAAAGACGGCTTGAGGACAGGAGCCTTCCGTGGGGCTGCAGCAGAGCTTGGGCTGCCAGGAATAACAGGGAGATGGCAGGGAAGGAAACGCAGCAGGTCCAGAGCTGCGGACTTCTTCTTTAAAAGCAGCATCCCGGTGACCTGCCCCGTGCCTGGCTTTGGAAGCTCCCTGTCCTCTGTCTCGCTGCTTGTGTCCAGAATGGGATGTGACCTCCGACTCGGGAGCGCTCCATGGACCTTATTTTTTATGGCTGAAATAAGCTTGGAGTTCTTCTTGTGCTGTTCCCGAGATGTGCTCTGCAGTGTGGGCTACTGCTGGCCCTCTTTAATCAAAAATGAGAGACATTTTAGTGCTTGTGGAAGCCAGGATGAGAACAGCTTCTTACCAGCTGTTGTCCCCATGTCAGCACAGGGTCTTAGGTGAGATAATGGCAGCAGTAAAATTTATTTTGTACCTTTGTTTGGAGGAAGATGCTTCCTGTACATCCATATTCTTCAAAATCAAATGTTCCAGATGAGTTAAATTTCAGGTAACTAACATGCTGCAATTTCTTGGATTTTTGAGAGTCTTTTTCTTAATTCTCCGATATTCATATTATAAGGCAGAGTTTTGTGTTCCAGTTCTTACAAGGATTTCATTACATCCCCTCTGTTTTCTCCAAGGCAAAAATAAAAGACCTTTTGAAGGTACACTCGATGTTAAGCAAATGCATCTGCAAGTGTTTGTACATTTCCCTTAATGATCCCATATTCTGTTTTTCATAATCAAGCTTGTCCCCTGCTGGTAAAAAGTAGCATCATATAAACACTAGGAGGAGTAATGCTTCTTTTCCAATAACATTTTTTTTCAATGTTAAATGTACCAGATGACAATATGTTTAAATAAAAAGTGGAAAGCACTCTTTCCTTAGTACTTTTTACAGGCATCGAATGAGTTATTTGGCATTTTCTGAATAAAGATTCTTGTCACTGATAGCTTTTCTCTCCTTCCCACCGTGCTGGTGTCCTCCTTGCAGTGAGCTGTTTTGCACATCCTTCTCCCTTGTAGTTGCTCGACAACATGTAAAGCCATGCTTGCAAAAAGATCACCAGGTCTGAAAGCTCAAAGCTGTATTATTCAAATAACACATTTAGTGCCAGCTTCTTGCCCAACAGGTAAGTTGTGCAGCCTGTCTGCGCCAATCCTGATGCGGTGCAAGATACGTGTTCTCCTGGCTAGACTCCTTCCTACCAACCTCTTAATTTTAAGTCTGATTGTCAAGTCTTTATGAGAGAACAATTTCTTCTTTACTATTACTAAAAATGACTCAGCCTTAGTTGTGGGACTGTTTTTGTTCCTCCTGTCACAACAAGTTAAATTAACAGCATTAAAAGTTAAATTAAAAGCGCCGCAAGAAGTACACGATGAAGTCAGAAGTGCAAAGCAAAGAGAGCAAGAAGCGACAGCACTGTGAAGAAGTATCTGGTTAACAAGAATATCCTCTGGGCTTTGCAGAAACGTTAAGAAAGGCTCTTTACCCTCTTATTCACATTTTTTTTTTTTTATGAAATACAGTTGGAAATGGCTGTAATGGTAAAGTACCTGTGTGAGCCGTGTATACGAGGCAACCTAAATTTATGAATTGCACTGAGGAGGGAAGACTCATGACTTTTATTGTCTCCTCCATAATATAAGTGCTGAATTGGAGGTAGGAGTTTCTGGCCACAGAGTTAAATTTATACAAAACTTGGTGCTGTAGTCCACAGATCCTCAGCCATTCGTAAATGGTCTCATTTTTCATGTTTATGGTCTGTGAGAAGGGGTACATAGTACAGAAAACATCAGTTGGAGTACATCAAAGTGTATATAGCGTAGATGAAAAAGGGTGATAAGGGATAACACATTTGTATCGTAATTTCATATCTGTAAGCCAGGTTAAAACTGCATGTGTAGTGTTCACATTAGTGTGAAATTATTTTTTCTAATGTGATTCAACATAAATCACTGTTACTTTTAAGATTGTAATCTGTTTTACCTCCGAAATAGTCACATGGTCCTTCTTAATGGTACAAGTACGTAATACCAGTTACTGCTGTTATATAATCAGTAAATAGTGGTTGTATGTAGCTTAATGTCTCCCTGTAATCTGTTCTCTTAGAGTGCCTGTATTTTCACTGAACATCAAGAATCTTTGCCCTTTCTTTAAGAACTGACATCCAGGTTATCACAGAATCTAGAGCACGGGCAAGAGGCAAACAGGCTGTCGCAGCAATGCCACTGCAGGCCACAAGTGCAGGCCTGTAAAAAGCTCCAGGCCTCAGTTTTGAACCTTCAGTCTGTTGTTACAGAATCACAGAATCACAGAATCTTCAAGATTGGAAGGGACCTCTAGAGATCATCTAGTCCAACCTTCCCGCTCAAGCAGGGAAACCTAGAGCATTGTCTTGGTGATGGTTAAAGCACTCAAATAGTGGAGCCGACTGTAGAATGATTTGGTGTCAATTCTGTCTCTTTTTGTGCTGCCCAGCTTACCCTCATGTATAGCAATATTGGCTGCATTTTTAGAAAAACAGAAGCTATTGGAAAAAAGACCGTGTTTGAGAAGTACCCTGATGAAAGCATCTACGCTACAACTCATCCGAACTGTTCCAGAGAGAAAACAATCATAGCTTTGCATTAAATGTTGAGATGAGCTGCTGAACACAATGCTGTTGACCAAATTATTAATGAAATGGCAGTCGGTAGTTAGTGATTTCATATCATTTTCCTGCAACTCAGCCAATAGTTTTGATCTTCTACATCTGACTTATCTGTAGTCATTGGCACTTGCTTGCTAATTTCCTGCATTTCAGGTTCTGATTGTTTTGCCTCCAGGGTATTTTCTATGCACCATTGTGCAAAACTACTGATATTCCTGTGTAACCAGAGACAGCAAGACAAATCGGGTATGTGAAGATGGAACTTCATTCCCAGTTGCATAATGGCCCCTTTTGTTTTCCTCATCAGGACAGCTGCAAAGACTTATCCCCAGTCTCCTAAAAACGCCAAACAATACCCGGCTTCACCTGTGAAGCATCGTGCCGCTTCTCATCTCAGCCAGGAGACTCCTAAGAAGAAAGCGGACAAGGAGAAGGAGAACGCCGGCCACCCGAGATCCCCGGGAGCGCGCGCCGAGGAGCCAGGGCAGGCAGCTGCTGAGAAGCACCCGCCTGCGGCAGGGAAGCCTGAAAGCACCGAAGGTGGGTTTGTTGCCAGAGCTCACTGCAAGGTTCTGGGGGCCCAGCACACCTTTACAGCGTGAGGTTCTCTTCTTTCATGAAGCTACTCGGTGATGGGGTTATAGGGACCTGTGAAGGTCCCTACCCGAACCAGTGATTGTGTAATTCTCACAAGGTAGCTCCTATTTGGCTAATATTTGTTGCTAATGGGAATGAGAACATGTTGAAATTCAAGGATACTCTTCCGTATCCAGTGTTCTACTTGCTGAAAGTGCTGATGCATGCTTTGGGAACGCAAGGATGGCTTAATGGTGTGAACCGGGCCCATTTCAGCTGCTGTCCTAGTGCAGAAGTGCTGGGCACACTCTCATTTTTCTGCCTAAATTTCCAGCCTTGCTGTCTTTCCAGGGAAGCTCACAGCAGGAACAACCGATGCAGAAGAAGCTTCAAAGATTCTAGCTGAGAAAAGACGACAGGCACGCCTGCAAAAAGAGCAGGAAGAAAGGGAGAGGCAAGAAAGGGAAGAGCGGGAAAGGTATCTCTGTTAATGTGTGATAATTCTTACCTAATAATCATGTCTCTCTACTTGTACTGTGGGCTATACTGACCTTGCACTGTCCTTGTCCCCGAAATGTTGCTGCAGTAGCTTGTGCCACAGAAAATGGTAGAAACCATGTTGTTTCACAAGACAGCTACTGTCATCCTAAAAAAGATGAAGTCTTTATTTCTTTGAGTTTTGATCCCTTATTCATTAGTATCTTTTGCAGTCTTTGTCTAGTACTGCTACAGACTAGAAATTTAGGAAGCTGGAGGACAAAACTGTTCATTCAGTACTTCCAGTGTGTGCACACTGCAGTCTGCAGGTTATTTTCAAATACTTGTGGTAGTTCTAACCAAGCTAGTCCATGTGGAAGGAGCCATTTTTTCAGTCACAATGTATGTTTTAGACTGCAGGACATCTTGCAACAACATAGTCTGAGATTAATGTCCTTGACCAACACTGTCGTGGGCACTTGAGGGCATTAACAGTGTGGGCCAAGTGAAGTTTGCTGTGTCTAACCATGAACCGTGGCTTTCTCCTGTCAATGAACTTTTGGGTTGTTCTCAGTCTCGGATTCTGATTGTGAGTGACAGCAAATTCCACCTTCCTGCAAGTCCCTAATATTAAATCACTAAATCTGCCTGTTTACATTCAGCTCTGTTGCTGTCATGTTGTTACTGAAAATGTGGTTCAAAGAATCACCAGCTTCTGGCAGTTGGGCCCAATGGGAATATTTACTGAATTCCCAATATGCAAAGAGAAGGAATGATGAGTAGCCAAAGCAGCTCTTGAACAGGCTGGCCAGTGACCAACATAGATTTAAGAAACTTCGTAGCTGCTTGTTCAGCCTCTTTTGTCTTCAGCTGAAATGAAGGAAGGAAGTATTTACTTGCTATAACACTGGGGTTGAAATGGTGCACAAGAGGGACGTTTTGAATTTTGAACCTTACAGAACATTATTTTTCTTTTCTATCTGAAATCAGAACTAGTGTGTTTTTTCTTTCTTTAACCATGCTGTTTTTAAAGGGAAATATAATTTCTGTGAGATGGCTTTGAAAGAAAAGTAAGATTGGAAGTTTAATAGCCATCTGAATTTTGAATCTGTGCCCAGCCTCTTAGCCGTATCTCTACATCTCCACAGAAGCATGTACTGATGCTTGTATTGGTTGATGCTGATTGCATACCAGGCATATGACAGGATTCACACTAGACAAAGTGAAATATTTTTAAAATACTGGAATATTTGTGCAGGCTTGAAAGAGAAGAGCAGAAGAGAAAGGCAGAAGAAGAAAGACTTCGCCTGGAGGCAGAAGCTCGTAAGAAAGAGGAGGAAAAAAAGCGCGAAGAAGAAGCAGCTAGAAAAAAGGCAGAAGAGGAAGCCAGGAGGAGAGCCGAGGAGGAGCAAATGCTAAAGGAAAAGCAAGAAAGAGAGCTCCAAGCCAAACTTGAGAAACAGGTATCATCTCAATTGCATATATAAAACTTCTTGTATTTTAGAAGATGGCTATTGCCAACAGCAACATGGATATGTCCATATATATGTGGAAGTGTAAGATAGTGTAGTATTTGATAATCTGCCTGAAATAAGTAATGGAGCTATCATATTTTGCATATTTTGATTAGAAGGAAGAAGCAGAAATGAAAGCCCGTGAGGCAGCTGAACAGCTTCGTCTTGAAAGGGAACAAATCATGCAGCAAATTGAGCAAGAAAGACTGGAGCGAAAGAAGGTAGAGGCTTGTTTCTCATTTAAGATAATTATTTCATTTCTTGTTTAAATGCACAAACTCAGAGGTTTATGAGGTTTATTAGATTCTACTAATAATAATCTGAGCACGATTACAGATGGCTGTTTTTGCCTCATGCAGTGTATGCTATTTGCAAGTTAGGGGAACATCAAAATCTGTCACGAGGTTGAGTTACGAAGGCAAATGGTTTTCCACTAGGAATTAGAGAGGCACCGAATTAGCCTCTCCCCACAAAATTAAATGCCTGAGACAAATAAGGAAGGACGTGCTGGGGCAAGTGGTGGTCAGTGCCCAGCCTGGGACACCACAGTCTATTGAGGAATGAGCAACTTTGTCAGCTCATTCAGCCTACCCAAACCTTCCCCACAAAATCTGCATGCTTTTAATTGCAAAGGTCAATGCCATTAAAAAACAGGTTTCCTCCCTCCTCCTCTTTGGATATATATATTATGCAGTGGCAGCAGGACTGTCTGGTGACCACTGTGACTGTTTCTGCACGAGGTTACAGCCAGAGCTGCTGCATTTGGCTTTAAATACAGCTCTGTGGCAGCAAAGAGGGGACAGCTGCAGAGCTGTACAGCACAGAACCTCTGTCTGGTTGTAAAGAGTCTTTTTTCCACACATGATATTCCAGGGTGTCATTTTTAATTGTTTGCCACTGTGCTGGATGTGTGTTACTGTTGCAGATTAGAATATCAAACCAAAATGACTTTAAATCTGACCATTTCCTTGCATTCTGGTGCAAAGAGATGAGATTTTTGATGGGCAAAGAGTTAGAAAGTGATTTTTGGAGTAACATCTGGCACATTTCCATCAGAAATAACTTAAAATACTTCATTCTACTCCTGCATTCTAGAAAGCCTAACTGTTTAAAAAAGCAAGCATTTAAAAATAGTTGGAAAAGCAACTAGGTGGAAATGATAGCTGCTGTTGACAAAATAAGTATCTTGTTTTGGAGCAGAGCTTGTGACTACAAACACCCGGTACTAAAATGGTTTTCTCTAAATGGTGTCTAATGAGAAAGTCATGTTTTGCGAGACTTGATGCATAAAAGCCAACTCTCATCTGTTTTTTAATCTTTTGTTTTCTGTATTCTCTTATTTATGTTCCCTTTTTCAGGAGAGGCAGGGCTGAAGTCATAGTAGAGAAACATGTTTCTGTATTAGTCTCTTGAGTTAAGCATGTCACCTGCTTTCTAATGCTCTAATTTATTTTCATTTCTAGAGAATAGATGAAATAATGAAGAGAACAAGGAGGAGTGAAACACCAGAAATAAAGGTATGAAACAGTGTGTTTTTTGTTTTGTTTTATTGCTTATCACCCATTTGTGAAAATTGAGCATAGTTCCATGTTAGCAGGTGTGGTTAGGAACGCTGTATCCCCAAATCCTAGATGCATTTGAGAGCTAAGAGTGACTGTGCCTGTGTCCCAGACACTGTTTTGTGCCTAGCGAGGGGGGAGAGCCCACCCCTTGGTGGTGGCCCCTCTTGGTGGAGCGGCTGGTGTCGCGGTTCTGCTCCAGCGTGGTGTCTCCCAGCGTGACCTGGCTGCTCAGCTCCTTTTGCTAAGCCTGCCAGGAACGTGGGAGTGAGGACTAGGACAGCTTAGTTTTCACTTCTATTCTATGTTTTCTACTAAGGAAGCTGACTCTTTAGTTACTTTAGTAAGCTCTCTGACATTTCAGGTTGTTTGTTTTTAGAATTTTTTAATTCTATACTTACCAAAAAAATCTATGCTCTATTGCTGTTGGACCACCTGCTTACTATGGGCACTCTGCCAAGCTCTGAATCCAGTCACTTCCATGAAGGTTGCAGTCCTTCTTCTCATACAGTTGTTCTGTTACTTAATTACAGAAGGAAGAGCCGAAACTGGAGATACCATCAACTCTGAACGTGGAAAAGCAGCCGAAAGCCCTTGTTTTCAACCAGCCAGGTAAATGTTGCCATGTTCTTCTGACTTGCTTTCACAGTTAGTTCTTTTAAAAGATGTGAGAGACCTCAGATAGAGCGCTGCCTTACCACAAGTCCTTAGCTTTCCTCTCCAGAAGAAACGACCACACTTGCGTAAATGGGTTGAATATTAGAAAGGAAGGGCTCACCTCTTGTTTAGCCACTTAAGTGGAAGAAAGTCTCTCCCCCAGAGAGCCTCTGAGGTAGCACCTATGTAAACAAGAAGCTCCAAGCTGCAGGTTGATTCAGTTTCCATGTTCTCGTTATAGTTTTGTAGGTTAAAAAAAAATGTATGCAAACAAGTTGGCGAGGGATTATATTACTTTAAATTTCTTGCATTTGATATTACTTGATGAAAGTAGTATATATACTTTAAAACTTACCAAAAAAAGTAACTGTGAGATTTATCTATATTGCATTTTCTCCGTTCTCTTTTGGCTTCTTTAAATTTAGAAAAATGTATCACAAAGAGCAATTTTATAGCGGAAAGGAGGATTTACAATACAGTACAATGAATCACAGATGAAATTGGCTCCTGCTATACTCCTCCTTTCTACTCCATCTATAACTTAAAAGCTTTTTTTAAATATGTATATCATTTAAACACAGATATTGCTACTGTCATGTTTTCTCTTTCAGAGATCAATGGACTGGCAACCTGTCTGAAAAACCAAAGCCCAGAAAGTGCTGCCCCTGTGATGCCTTCCCAGGCTGTAGTTGCTAACGGACTGAAGCCGGCCTCGGCACTTATTCAGCTGGAGGCTGTGGATGGGAAAGCCAACAGCACGGAAGATTCAGCAGATGAGGTTCAGTCTATGGATGTGAGGTACAGGCCACATGCACTAGCAGAAATTGTGGAATTCACGTTAGCCACATCTGAAGTTTTGCATTTTACCTGTCAATCCGCACTCCTCTTCCTCTCACTAATCCGGAACGTGTCAGGGTGGTGCCTGCTCCCTGGTCACTCGCGTCTGTAGAGGTGCAAGGTGTTAGTTTCAGATTAAAGTCACCAGCCTCTTCTCACACACACTGAAAAAAGTACTGAAAACACTCCATGCTTCTTGCTACTGTTTCATACAGATTTGCCCAAACCTTTCAGATTGTCCTGAGAATCAGGATTACTGTGGATGTAACTGCTGTAGATGATGTCCAGGTGCCACCAGTTTTTTATTCCTATCAAAATTGCATGAGCTCCCTATAAACAGAATAAAATAGGAAATTCATCATTTTCTTGATATTATTTAACCTGAACAAATATATGGAAATGAATAAATGACTTCCTGTTTGTGGATACTGTTGGATTTTAGTGGGAAGATTTACGTGAAGGAAGGCGGTTGATAAGGTTGCTATGGGAAAGCTAGCTCTGAATTTTAAACATGGAATTCTGATACCGTAGTTCCCTAATCAGCAAGCCAAATTAACCCCTTATCCTGTTTCAGCACTTCCAGTAAACCTGCATAAGAGTGTAAGAAATGGGGTGCTGGGTGAGACCAGAGGTCCATCCACATTATTCTCCACTCTGCAAATTCCAATGAGAAGAAAAATAGGGAGAGCACTTGAGCCCAGCCGCCCTCTGCAATCCAGACCATGGGGACGTTTTGTTTAAGGGGTAGCGCAGGGCACGTCCCTCCCTTCCTGGTGTCCACTGACAGGCCTTCTTGAAGGCCTTCTTGAACTTGCTGAGGCTCTTTGCATGCAGAGCAAGACTTGATCCTTTGCACCAAGGAGCAAGTCCCACAGCTCCACGAGGAAATGTTCTTGGATCCGTGTTAAACCCCATCTCCTACTTGGCACCCCCTAGTTTTTGTGGAGCAGGATGTGACATGCAGGAGTTCTGCTCACAGCCCATCCTCCACCTTCCCAGGTTTAAGAATCCTAAGGAGACCCCCTCGTCTGCCCTCTGCTCCCCACGCTGAAGTGTGTCCCGGCCTTTTGCTCTCAGCAAGGGCTCAGCTGCCCACAACACTCGTTAGGTGAAATTCTCTGTGACTTCTATGTCTGAACTATATCACAAACTATTAAGAAAGATATTTTTATTTAGACTGTGAAACAAGAGTGTATGTAAACTCTTTATGTAAAGGCTGAAGGATCAGGACTATAATTTGCAAGATGCAATGAAAGTAGTTATTCAAGTAATGAAATGTGCAGGTCCTGAGATAATGTCTGTTCAGAAGCTGTTCAGTAAACCATCAGATATTAACTTCCTGAGATGTATTCCTAAGAGATAAATGTTCACATCACGCAGCCACCATAGCCAAACATTAATTTTTAAGGAATAATCTCTTTCTGTTTGGCATGGGATAAATTTTAGGTAAAGTCTTACTGCAGCCAGCCTTAAGATCAATAGTATGTTTTTTTTCTGTCAGACGATGAATTTGATTTCTGCTCAATGAAAAGTCACACGCCTTTATTTCTGCATCTTCTTGCCTTTATCCTTTGTGTAGCCCTGTTTCAAAAGAAGAGCTCATCTCTATCCCTGAATATTCACCCATGAACGAACTCATGCCCAGTGTTTCCTTGGACCAAAATGGGACGAGTAATTCCAAGGCTCTAGAAGATCTCCTGGATTTTACAGGCCAAGCGACCTACTCCAAAATCTCCAGTGAAACCATTAGCCTAGATGACTGCAACAAAAACTTGATTGAGGGATTTAACAGTCCAGGACAGGAAAATACACTTAATTCTATCTGTTGACAAGCTTGCTTTTCTGCAAACCAGATAAAGGTACAGTATTGTGATAAACACCCTTAAATAGGATAACCTGCTGCGATTATTGATGCGCCTTCTAGAAGAACGTGTCAATGGTAAACAGCCTATGTGTTAGATATGCTAGGTGATAGGCATATGATAGAAGAAGAGCTGGTCTCCAGGATGTTTAAAGTGAGCATAATCTTCCATATTCACAGCTCTTACTCAGTTGGTATCATATGTGAACTGAGCGCATCGTAGCAACCAGGAGTACCTGCTAAATGGAAACACTTCATTTATTTATTCAGAGTGCAGCAAGAAGAGAGTTGCGCTTTCGCTTTATTAATTACATACCTTTTTTACCTGTTTTTGGAGCCTGTTAGCCTGAAAAAAACAGCTAAAAGTAGAGCCAACCTAGGAAATGGTAACTGTGCCCCGTGCTCTGGGTGTGCCTGCTGGAGCAGGGGGTTGGACTGGATGGTCTCTAGAGGCCCCTTCCAACCTCAACCGTTCTGTGATGCTGTGGGTTCCTGTGTCTGCTTCCCCTTTTTCACTGCTATAATACCTGCACGTGGGGTAGAATATTTTATCCTGGAATGCCAGCAAATTAGGTGAGAAAAAAAAAATGTAATGACAGTTAAGAAATACAGCACTACAGGTAATTTTAAGAAAAGAGAGCATTCTGAATTACAGAACTGAAGTCATCCAACTTGCATACCTGACTTAGTTTTCTTTTGTTTAATTGACAGTGGTAGCAGTTTCTGGAGGATGTCTATCCCTGTGATGCTACTGGCAGTGAAATATGAGCTTGTCCCTTGAAAAAGCTTCTGCAGTCCTTGAACACTGGATTTCAAATAATCAGAGCCGAATATAACCGTCTTCCCAAGGGATACGTCGAATAACTGGCTGCTTTTGGTAGAAATCGGTGATCTAGAGCCTTGGTAGTTTCAGGGAAGACTAAGTATGCATTAGAATTTGAGCTTTAGCTGCTAATAAAGCACTTGTTTCTTCTTTTAATTTAAAATTCATCTGAACACTTCACTGTGATTTTTGGTTTTATTTTAAATGTGCATTTTATTTTAAAATCATTCTGTCTTAAGTTTTCCCATTCCGAATCTGTTTAGATATCTTTTTTCTTGTAAATAATGATGACGTTTGCCCACAGTGCATTGAAATGGAATATATTGTACTTTAGCTTTGTGCCTTTTTTTTTGGGGGGGGCCATCAATAAGGAATCCTGGCAACTTGTATGCAAGTGTGTAATTCAGAGCTGTAGCTGAAGAGGCATGAAAAGAAAACAACTCCTGGCATCAGAAGGATTCTCCTTGTTGACTGTGGAGTGTAGTGGAGTTACCCTTTAAGGTAATTTTTATGGCATTTTTAGTCACTAGTGGCAGTTACTGGTTAACGCTAATAGTCCTGGAGCGACTCTCACTTCTGTGTTACAGTCATCCGTGGTGTTACACCTGTAAGAAACGTAGGCCGGACGCCTCGTGTAATCCCTTACTTCCCATGTGCTGTGTAGCTGTAGTGGATCCCAATGCGTGTGTCGGGGGTGGTCAGGTAACGTGCGAGTCCTGGGAGATGCAGGCACGTGGTGAACACCAGCAGCCTCTCAGTCAGCAGGAGAAGGGGGTCTGTCTTCCTGTAGGCTCAGCAACAACACATACAGTCAGCAGCAAAACAAGGTACAACTGTTGCCGCCAAAACATGAAAGCCCACAGAGACACAGAGAACTCTGCTTAGCCCCCTTAATATTCCTTAGGCATCTGTATGGAAAACTTCACATCAGGAATGTGTAACGTGTAGACATTATGTGCCATACGATGTTGATTTGATTTCTGTTGGTGAACTATGGTAGCTTTTCTGCTAGATCATGTGCTGCTTTGAGGACTTGTTTGTCCAGTTCCTTGTCGAAAAGAAAAAAGTAGTAAATACAGATCTTTTTGGAAGCGAATACAAAAAAAAAAAAAAAAAGTGAAAACTTTGTTAATTATTATTTAAGAGAGTTCACAGCAGTATAGCCTGAACTCACTTGTAGCCCTGTTCTTGTGCTTTTTAAAGCCAGCAGCAGGAAAGTAACCAATGAAATAGCGCGTGATAAAGAAAATATACGTACAGCAATGCAGCTCTATTTATGTTAGTGTACTTCAGGGAAAAAAAAAACACAACAAAAACAAACAAAAACCCCTTTCTTTTGACTGTGCAGTAAGCTGTAGCATGAAACTGTGTCTTCCAAATTAGTCACACATTTATTTCCTAAATAAAAAAAAAAATCAGAAACAAGATGTTTTGCTGTAATACATTGTGTTTGACAAATGTCACGTTATATTTTATCATGGTGCCATTGTATAACCTGTAGATTTCTTCATCTGCATGACATGTATAGCATGTATAAAGGTAAAATACATTTTCATTTATGAATCTAACTTGCTTCGTAGCTTTTTTTTTCATAACAAAATTATGACAAACTTGGGACACACTCTGGTTTATCGCGGGCGTCCCACCACGCAAAGCTGCAGCGCTAGTTCCTAGAGTCCCAAAGCACCTGCCATTGTATCCTTGGCATTAAGCCCCTCTGCTTCCTGAAGCCCGCCAGTATGTAGGAGAAGGGGAGACTGGGGGCAGAAGGTGCTTCAAGTGAGGCCTCCAGATGAGGGCATCCAAAATGCTGGTGGCACACTGCACAGGGTAGTACATAACCCATTCTTCTGCTCTCCGGGATACTGCTTGGCAAGTGAAAGGAGGAGAAGAAAATTTGGGAGCCGTGGCCCCACTGGGCCTGGTGCTGCCCAGCCTCTTAGCTGGGTGTCACCTATTACATGAGAGCCTTTACCTACAAGCAACACATCATGCTGTTTGGAAAGAGATCCGCTTGGAGTTACTGCTGGTATCCTAGTGAAAAGGTAGAGAAAAGGATCAACAGCGTGTTTTCTATAAAAGCACAACTTCAATGAAAATTCAGAATGAGAAAATCTTCATATATATATATTTATTTATATACATGTACCTGTGTGTATGTGTGTCTGTATATACATATATAAAAATAAGTATATTAGTACTTTCCATGGTGACACTTCATCTCACTCATTCTGTTTTGGATCATTCATGTGATTTGTTCACTCAGTTATTTACTAAGATTAAAGGAGGGAAGACAAGTGAGTATTCATAAAACAGAAAATACGTGCGAACTTTTTATTTGATTTCAAACATAATCTGTACAACTTGGCTGACTGTCTGGAGCAGGCACCATTATTTGATGGGTTAAATTGGCTTCCTTTTTGCTTTTGGTGATCTAACTTATTTGTACCATTATCCGTGTTTGCTGCTATGATTGAGGTCTGCACAACAAACCTACTTTGGCAGTGGTCCCGAACCTGTGATGAGGGACCCCTAGTGATTCACATGAGTTTTTTGCAGACCTTTTATGATATAAAGGATTAGAGGATCAAGAAGCAAGAGAAAGGAGAATAAATAAATGATTCTTGTGCTGATGTCTTTATAAAGAAATTGGTAAAATGGGAGTGTCAGGAAACTGCTGAAGCAGAGCCCTGCTGAACTAATTAAACCACAAGAGCTGCATTACTAAAGCAAAATAAAAAGCTTACAGAGTTAGACCTGCATAGAATATATAGCAATGTACTATGTGTAGTGCTAACGCAGAGCAGTGCAATAATGTGAATGTCGCTGTTTCCTAATGCGGTGAGAGCCGAGAAGAATCCGGTGCTGTTACGATCTTTTCCCGGGTTTGTTTTCCTACCTGGTGTGACCAGCAGCAAGCTTTTGAAGTGCTAAATGCTGCGCACCCCTCGGGGGTGTCACAGGAACAACGCTGCGCCCGAGGCAGCCCGGGCCTGCCATGGCCGGCGCAGCGGGCACGCGCTCGGGAGGGCAGCGCTGGCACTGCAACCAGCGCGGCGTCACGGTTGGCAGCGACCTCAGAGATCACCGCGTCCGACCCGAACCGTCACCACCCTGTCCCTAGGGGCGCCGGCTGCCCGGCGAGGCCTGGAGGCCCTCGCGGGCGGCCGCCTGCCCCGGGGCCTCCAGCCACGGTGCTGCTCCGTGCCGTGGCCCTGCCCTGCTGTCCCCGGCCCCCGCGACCCCGCGCGGCTGCCGAGGCCCCGAGCAGCCTGATCCAGGCTCTGAAAGGCCGGCTGGAGGCCGGCCAAAACGCGCCATGCCCCCAGTGGAGGCACCGCGGCCGCCCCGTGCTCTGCGTGTCCCTGCTGGAGCAGGGGGTTGCACTAGGTGATCTCCATGGGTCCCTTCCAGGCTCAGCCCTTCCGTGGTTCTGTGGTTCATCACAGGAGCTGGCGTTCAGCCTGCTCTGCCCTCCGGGGACAGCGACCGCGGCGCAGCCGCCTCCGCGGGCGCAGGGAGGCCGAGCGCTCGCGCGGCCTCCGCTGAGGGGTCTCAGCCAAGGGCCCCTGGAGCTGCGTGCCCACCAGCAACCGGCTTCCCTTCCTGACCTACGGGAAGGGTCCCAGCGCGGAAGGAGCTCCATGCTGCAGGGCCAAAGGCTGTTTGCGCCCTGAGGTGCCTTTCTCGTTTTCTGTCATCCCGCTGCGCTGCAGGAATCGCAGCAAATGTCCCTCTGGCAGCTGCGGGCAAGCAGGTGAGCCCCGGCGGGATGCGCCTGCCCTCCGTCCTGCCTTAGCGGTGTGCGGATCTTCCTCCTGGCGTCCAGCCCTTCCCTCCCTCCCTCCCTCCCGTGCAAGAATGGGGTGGACTGGGAAAAAACGTCTCCCTTTCCTCCAAGGTTAATGTTGCTCAAGCCGTCGGCCGCCTCCGAAAGCCGCGAGGGAGGGTGAGCGGCCAGGGCTGCCTCCGCGTCGCGGACCAAGGCTGCAAGCGCGGATGGTGCCTCGTGCTTCCGGAATGCTGTTTTCCAGCTTTGATGTTAAATTATGGAAAAAATTGTTAGTGCTGGGCCTGGAAAATATGGTGATTGATCTTATGATTAATCGCAATCTCATCTCAATTTCCCTTTTTTTTGTTGTTGATTTTTAAGATTTAGAAAAACAGTTTAAGTATAGTCAATCTCTTAGGACTACATATGCTTCAAAATTATAGAAATCTTAAGATATTTGAATGCATTTTTGTTGCTGCTATTCATTACAGTAATCCTGCTCCAGGATACTGCAGCTCACGATGCTCTTGTCTCCCACACTTTTTTAACACCTTGTGTATCTTATCCTTAGAATCTTACACCTGAAAACTAGGCAGTACTGTTCATGCTGCTGGCCCATTTAACTTGTCTATCAAAGAAAATATATATATATCTTAAGCAAGAAAGCTCCGAAACTGCAAGCAGAAATACTGAGCAAAAGAATGCTTAAGCTTTTAAAATAATTGCCTAAAATGGACAGAGGTTTTCTTAACCATCAGAATAATTTTTAACACTTGTTTTCTTCTTCTTCTTTGCCTTTTCTTTCGTTCCCCATTTCATTGTGCAGAAATACTATGATACATTCTGCATCATTTCCAAAGACTGAAAACTGAAATAGTCATGTTTTCAAACTGGTAGGTCAGACGATTACCTGAAGCCTGCAATTTGCAGGATCAAAATAAATTCCCTGGGAACTACTGTTTGTTTGAGGGATTCACAAAAACAGACCTGCTTCTCCTCTGAAATGGAGACTTAATGGTACTTGGAGTGAAAAAAAAGCCACTTTGATTCAGGAGAGACTCAGGGAATGGAAGGAAATGGTAAGAAATGTGCTGAACTCCTTACATGAAGAATGAGTGTGTAAAAGAATGACAGAAATAAATCCAGCCGCGCGCTGTGCACTGTCCCTCACCTCTCCTTGCTGTGTCTGAAAGGAATAACCTGGAGTCAGAGGCAACTGTGAGTGACTGGCACTGTACAGGCATGGGCCCAAGAACAATAATCTTTGGGGATGTAAAATAATCTCACAATCAGGGAAGTTATGGTGGTGCTTTTCTTTTTCCTGTAAATCCCAGTCACTCACTAAATTCAGTACCTGAGCAGCACTTAGCAATCCCACTGAAAGACTGTGGGAAACCAGTAAGAAGTATCAGGGCAGTGTCTCTAATACTGTATTAAAATTATGTTCATATATCCTTGTTTTCTTTTTTTAAATACAGAGAGCAACATCATCCAAAATATCGTTATTATCACCTTACGTATGCAGAGTTATGGGGGTTTATGCCAATGATATCTATGGAGCTACTCTTAATTATCCTGATGTGAGTTCTCAACTGAGAAGAGCTTTCACTCTTTTATTTTAACCTCTTTTATCAGTTCAAATACAATAAATGTGAGATAATATACATTCTTTTGGAATGTGGAGCTTCTAGAGAGGGTCCAGCGGAGGGCAACCAAGATGATTAAGGGACTGGAACACGAGGAGAGACTGAGTGAACTGGGCCTGGTTAGCCTGGAGAAGAGAAGGCTGAGAGGGGATCTGATCAACATGTACAAACTACCTAAGGGGTGAATGCAGGGAGGAAGGGGCCAAGCTCTTCTCAGTGGTGGCCAGTGACAGGACAAGTGGCAATGGGTACAAACTGCAACACGGGCAGTTCCAGCTCCATGTGAGGAGGAACTTCCTTCCTGTGAGGGTGCCAGAGCCCTGGCACAGGCTGCCCAGGGAGGCTGTGGAGTCTCCTTCTCTGGAGCTCTTCCAAACCCGCCTGGATGCCGCCCTGTGCCCCGTGCTCTGCGTGTCCCTGCTGGAGCAGGGGGTTGGACTGATGGTCTCTATTGCCCATATCGTACCAGGCTGACACGGGCCCCTCTCCTCAGGGCTGTGGCTTAGTTTCCACTTGTTGTTGCAGGAAAGTTAGGATAACCTCATAAAAAAAACATAGCGGCTTCGTTACGTCATGAGATGCCAGCCTGGCTGAGGGCTCTCTTTAAAGAGTAATTGGGTGATCCTATCGGAGGCAAGCCATGCAGCCAGTCAGCCTCTCACGTTCCTTCAGGTTTTAATTAAATGGTTATTTTACAGCTCCTCGTAAACTTCAAAGCCAAATGATGTGGGACTTATCTCCTCAATAAAGGAGGGAATCCTTATCTGTTGCTTTGAGCTTGGATTAAAAAAAAAAAGTCACGGGTCTGCAGGAAGCTGTTGAAACAAGCTGTGGTGACTGGTGCTTGTTTGTTTTCCATTTTATTTTGGACTATCCTCTTTCCTCGTCTGGGTGGGATGCAAGAGACTGGAAGTCAAAATTATTTTCCCAAGTGACTTTGGATGTTGATTTAAGCATCATTATCTCAGTTTCTGTAAAGCGGGAGCAGGAGCTGGCGCTCCCTCACAGGGCGGTCAGGGCCTTAGCTAATCTTGTTCCACTGAATGACGGCATTTTGTTTTTGG